GCTAGACGAACATACATATATACACTGCATCCGAGGGATTTTCGCGACAAGTACTGGACATTGGGAACGGAAAGCTGCCAGCTAACGAGAGATTAAGACGAATTGTATTGCCTGATAATTTTTGCAACTAAGGAACATCGAAAGGAGAACTGATGGAAAGAATGTTTCTTAATTAAGAAAATTAATTACAGGCTCAGTGAACGAGCTATTCTTGCTGCGAAGAATAAGGATGTATATCAACTAAATAAGAGTGGTATTGACAACAGTCGTTGCTTGAGCTGGTCTGCTCTTTTACCAGACTGCCAGGCCACTTGCTCACTTTGGTGAACACCACTAATGTTATTCAATCCAGCATTCAAAGTGACAACTGTTTAGCTAAGGGAGAGCGGGAGACCAGGGCTCAAATCGTAACGTCCGTTCACGGATCGAAAACCATACGAAAGAAAATTACGTGATATGTCAGGCAGTATAAGCTGAATGAGACAAAGACTATGTTCACGTACGTCATAATCTGAAAAATTTGTTTTTACGTGACGACGTGACGTTTTGTTCGTATGTGACGATTCGAGCCCAGGTTTAGAGTTGTGGTCGAGTTAGAGTAGTTGGGGAGGTAGGGATTACCTTTGCGAGTGTTTGTGTATCGAGCTCAATGAGTCCGTATGGTTTATAGGTGCACATCAAGTCAGCTACGCACTTCATATGCCTGATATGCGAGAGAGAAAGAGAGAGAGAGAGAGAGATATGCGGGCAGGCTGATGAAGCGGTGGCGCAAGATGTGACCGTTTCACCGTGTATTCATTGTGGGACTCCATTGGAGTAGTCATACTCTAGCTGCCTTAGCCTGCTGGGCAATGAGCTGGGATTTATCCAGGGATGCATTCGTGCAGAGCCCCAGTGTGGTTTGTAAGCAGTAGCTTAATACCATGCCAAAAATTACCCCGGGAGTGGAGTGTCGGTGATGATCAAAGTACCGTGTGACAGCCAAGCTGGGTTAGCGTTGACTATAGCTGAAAATGCCAGCGACGTATCACTTCACTAAGTTCAGCGAAGAGATATTTCAGAATTACATAAAAAATTCATACCCAATTAAACACGAGCGAAGTACCTTTAAAAACAAGTGCATCTGTGTGTTCGCTGTTCTTTGTTTAAGCGGGAAATGCATAAGTCGCTTTAACAATAACATATACGTCGATAAACACCGTTGTGGAAAAAGACGAATCAGTTAATTATCCAACGGAATTTTTGAGCTCGATTGATCTTCCAGGGATGACCCCACATACTGAATTGAAAATAGGTGTGCCAAATATCACGTTGCGGAATATTAATCAGCTAAAACTCCGCAACGGTACGCGACTCGCAGTTAAGAAATTGATGAAGAACGTAGAGTAAGTAAAGATTTTTACGTGGCCTTTCAAAGGTGAAGAATTCCCATGATTCCGACCGATACACGATTTCAATTTTAAAGACTGCAATTTCCAATTCGATTGACATTCGGAATCACAATCACTAATGCTCAAGGTTATCCTTTGGAAAAGTGTGGTTTAGAGTGAGATGCGGATTAGTTCTTAGATGTTGCGTGTTCCCGTGTCGGCAAACCAGATATCCTTGATATCAATGCAGAGATGGGAAACACGACAAATATTATGTGCACACAAGTACTTATTACAAAATCAAACTCATATGAAACGTATGCTTTGTTTCGTTAATAATTTATCATCCATGTAACAGGAATGCCACAGCAAAGCGTGGCAGGGTATAGCTAGTCTATATATAAAAATAAGTGCACGTTTTTGGTGTGACCTCATAACTTGAGAACGGCTTCACCGAATTCAACCAAATTTATGTGGTATATTCGATCTATCATGCAGATGGTTTATGCAAAGTTTTCCCGAATTCGGAAAAGGGGGCGTGGCACCACCAATACTAACTAAAATATAAAAATAAGTGAACGTTTTTGGTGTGACCATATAACTTGAGAACGGCTTCACCGGTTTCAACCAAATTTATGCGGCATATTCGGGCTATCATGCAGATGGTTTAAATATGTGAAGTTTGCTTGATTTCGGATAAGGGGGCGTGGCGCCTCTTATTTTTGGTCCCTGTTTTGAAGTAATTTCCGATATTATAAGCAATGCAGTTTTGTGGCACAATCCGTACAGCTGAATGATGTGGTGAAACGCTCAAAATTTTTAAATTATAAAAGAACAAATTTCCTTTGACTTTGATGTAACTTGGAAAAATATTTGGCGCCTTCACGCAGTCTTGAATGCTTTGCCTTACCACCATTAGCAAATTTCTACATATCTTATATATGAAGCGCATCTTCATGATCACATTTTCCATTTCGTGTATGTATAACCAGAAGATATCTTAAGTGAAGCCATTCTAAGAGACTTACCCAATAAGGGCTAAAAAAGTAGGGCTTCGGAGCGGAGCAGAGCAAAGGAGCAAAAGATTTTGGGTAGAGCGGAGCTGGAGCAAAAAGCTATAAAAATTCATTTTCTCCTTAGCTCCTTAAAGAAAATTAAATTTACTTATTTTCTTATTTTTCCCACTGAAAAACCTTGTTAAATAAATTGTCATTCTTTTTTACTTGACAATACTGTTCATTGCTAAGCTGACCAACCGTCCTCCTTTGAGGAGGATTGTCCTCCTCAAACGTGATTTGCCCTCCTCAAAAATTTTGTCCTTCTCTGTTCTCCTTTTGAGCAAAAATGTCCTCCTTACCCTCCTTTTCGAGTTTTATAGCATTAATGAAATTTTCGAAAAGTTTCGTTCAAAATATTATTATTTTCCAATCGTACACATTCATTGTATTTAATAGGCGTATACATTGTTTAAATTGCAGTTAAATGATGTAAACTTTTGATTCAACTAATCGCCTGTGAAAGTTGAACAGTGTAACCGCCTTTTAGCCTTAATCAATAACATCCCAATAAACACCAACAAAATATTTCTCCAACCTTGGAGAAATTCATAGTTCTCAAGTTGATATCCAACATCATTCTCTAACTCATCTCTAACCGACGCGCAGATACGCAAAAAGTAATAGTGCAAAAATTTTTAATTATCAAGTAAAAAACGAAAGCTATATAAAGACGAAAATTACCAACAAAAAGTAAATAATCTTCAAAGTATCCTCAAATAATCTTGAGAGAAGATAAAACTCGAAGTGAATCAAGTGGTAAAATTACTGTCGGCCTGTATACTGTGAAGTGAATTATTGTAATTCTATATTGATTAACTACATAATACAAAAGGAGTAATAAAATGAAAAATTAATATTTAAATTCATCTATGTATGTCGTTTCAATCAAAAAGGTATAATGTATTTTACTATTTTAATTTCAGTATTTCAATGATATGTTTGAGACCAATTGGAGAATTACATTAGAGTTCAAGTTGAGAACTAGCATTTTCTCAACTTGAGAAACAGTCATTTTTTCATACAAAGAAAAATGCCCTTTTTGTTGAGAACGCTATGATCCTCCACTTGAGGTACTGTTGAGAAACAACATTGGAGATTTGAGAAATACCTTAGTTCTCAATTAACCTCGAATTGAGCTCAAACCTAAATGTTTGTTGGGATTTTACCCTTTACAACATTGAAAGACTAGCTAACGACGCGTCTCCACAGGTGAAAGTTATTGCCTACCATATGAGTGAAAATCTCTCAAGTATATTTATGTTTATTACTTAGCATTACAAATAAGATTCAATAGGCATTAAATTAAATAAATTCCTTAAAGTATGATTTTTATAAATTAAGAAAAACTTTAAAAGAACTTCTTCAAACGGCGTCCTACAAAAGCCCTTCTGAAAGCTCTTTTTTGAGTAGCAGAAGCCTTTCAATTTGTGCCGCTCCATACAAAAAATGAAGGAGAAAGGAATTACTTTCAGAAAACCTTTTGGATACGATTTTAGCTCCTGATATTATCTACTGGGTAGTATTTATGTATGACCCCTCAGTCGTGCACCTGATCAGGAACTTGCACTTTTTCGGCATTCGCCTAAAAAATAAGATTTTAACCAAATAAATTAAACAGAAAGAAGATATTCAACATGTTAGAAAAAATGTTTTGTTATCAGTTTTCGACTACTAATTACAGAAGGCTTAACCTTTTTTTCATGGCAAAAATCTGCTAAAAATTAGGACAATTTAAGTGTGGACCTAGATATTAAAAAAATATAACATAATTATTGGAACGGGGAAAAGTTAGATTTCGCAGGCCTGTTTAATCCAATACAAAACAGCTTTTTATTTTTATATTATTTATTTTTAAATATTTTCTTAAAAAAATATAGTTCATTCTATAACAAACACACACCATACAAATTCACATTTCAAACTTTGTGCAAATATAAAAAATTCAGCGCATTTTCGCCAAAATTTTGCACTTTTTTTAAGAGTTTTGCGAAAAGTTTTGCGTATGCAGTTTTATAGCCCATTGAAATGTTGTACTTGCTTTTCCTTAGATTGTAGTGCATAGGATTGGCTAAGCCAACGAATTCTAATAATTTTTGGTAGCGACCGTAACCACTCCTTTATATGGACCTGTCCGATAATCCGGACGAGAGTCGCATACAAAATTGCAGTGCTTCGATTAATATAAACGCGTGTTCTTGTATTTTCTTTTATTTGCTTTATTAAGGCCAGTTGTCCAAAGCAGTATTGAACGAACTAGCGCGTACGAATGCAAAATGAAAATGAGCGCAGTTTCAATGCTTACATGAATATTTATAGGCAATCATGACAATGCAGAACGTCAGTGATGCATTTTTTTGCGTACCCAAATGCACAGCACAGGGTTGTATTTTCGACAGGACATTACAGTGAGTCCACATGTATATCAGATAACATAACATTTATGGTATAACATAAAACAATGAAGTAGATTAATATGTAAAAACGATGGTTGTTACAGAAGTAGATTAATATGTAAAAACGATGGTTGTTACAGTCTCCCCCTAGGATACAGAAATCGACCCGATGATGTATCCTATTTGGTAATCTTTCGAGGTCGTCCTCGACGTCTTAACATGTTGACTGGTGCTTCAGGAACATTGTCAGAGCTACGATATGGTGTCAATGATGATGCATGGTATGTGCCCAAAGGATACTGGAGATTGTCCTCATGAGCAATTACGTAGGAGGTGGCACCTTGTTTGTCAACAATCACGTAAGGCCCATCTCGGCGTGGAATAAACTTTGGGGCTACACCCTTTGCAGCATTACTCAAAACGTGAGTTGTCACAAGCACTTTTGCTCCAATTTCTAGACCTTCTTGGTCGCGTCGTCGGGGATTGGTGACGGCTTTATTAGCGTCTTGTCGTTTGTGCTCATATTCTTGCGTAGCCTTGAACACGTCGGCGAGCGTGCTAAGATACGGTGTGATTTCAGCAATGAAATTTTCGGAGTGAATGATAGCTCTTAAGTCATGCTGACGTCGTCGATTGTGCGTAATTCACGCCCAAATGTAAGAAACGCAGCAGTATGCCCAGTACTTTGGCATCGTGTGGTGTTCATCGCAAATCGTATGGCTGGCAACTTCTCTGCCCAGTTACGATGTTGTCTTCCTACTAATATGGACAACTGCGTCTTCAAATCTCGATTCTTCCGCTCCACAGGATTTGCTTGAGGGTGATAGAATGGCGTAAACACTTAGCATATATCCAGACAGAAAGCAACCTTCTGCATCACACCTGACACGAATTGCACACCGTTGTCGCTTATTATCCGCCTTGGGACTCCATAGCGCAAGAATACCTCATCTATAAGCGTTTTAGCACAGTTTTCAGCGGATGCTTCTTTCAGTGGGAACAGTTCCACCCAGCGACTAGCCACGTCTTCAATAATATAAATCCACTGCAGGCCATTCGCGTCTGGTGGTAGTGGTCCAAACAGATCAATGGCTATGGCTTCAAAACGCTGTTTGCTGGAAACTGTCTGGTACTGTCCCATTGGCTTCAAGTTGGTTACCTTATAGCGTTGACACTCGATACAGTTCCGGACATGTTTCTCAACGTCTTTTCGCATACCTGGCCAATAGTAACGCGATGATATTTTAGACAACGTCCGGTCGATTCCATAATGACCGGCAGTGTCTTTATTGTGGAAGTTATTTAAAATAGCCGGGCGATCGGATTCTGGAACAACTAGCTGGGCCTCCTCGCTCTCCTCGTCGTTGTAGCAGTAAAGCACGCCGTCATTCATGGTGAAACCTCGTTTACTCCAATGCACCACATCATCAGTTTCTCCCTCGAAACAATCAATAATTACTTTTAAAGTGGGATCACTAAGCTGGCAGTATTTCCTTCGCTCCTAGACGTGGAAGATCAGCGGCGAACGAGCATATATTGCATGATTCTTTGGATTCATGTCCATCCGCACAAGGTGGCCTTGACAACATGTCTGCCACGACATTTATTCTACCAGGTTTATAGTCGATGGTCAGATTATATGGCTGTAGGAGCAGTGCCCATCGAGCTAGGCGTCCAGTCGGTGATTTGAGTGACATAAGCCATTTAAGCGGCCGGTGGTCTGTGATGAGTTTTACCTCGGATCCCTCAATGTAGCCACGATACTTTTGGACAGCCCACACGATGGCAAGAGCTTCTCTTTCAATGGTAGAGTAGTTTTGCTCCGCTTTAGTCAAAAGCCTACTCGCGTATTATATGGGGTGTTCATCAGCACTCTCCCCCTGGATCAAAACTGCTCCTAGAGCGTATCCACTAGCGTCGGTTTTCAAAATAAATGGAATAGTTTCGTCGACTTGCTTCAGGATGGGCGACGTTATCAACAACTGTTTCAATTTGTCAAACGCACCTTGTTGGTCATCTGTCCATACCCAAGTAGCATTCTTTTTGGTCAACTGTGAAAGTGGTTTTGCGACATCTGCAAACTGTGGTACGAAACGCCTATACCACGAACAAGCTTGGAGGAACGATAGCAACTCTTTGGTGTTTTTCGGAGGTTTACGCAGTGATATTGCAGTGACCTTATCTGGATCTACTCGTATGCCAGCTGATGTTAGGATGTGTCCAAGATATTTAACCTCGCGACAAGCAAACCGACATTTTCCTTTGTTGACCTTAAGGCCAAATTGGCTTATCCGTTCAAAAAGCTTGCTGAGATCTTTAAGGTGCTCCTCGAAGCTACTGGAACATAGGATGATGTCGTCAAGGTACGCAAATATCGTGAGCTTACTTAAAGATGCTTTCAGTCGATCAATCAGCCGCTGAAACGTTGCCGGCGCATTTCGCAATCCAAAAGGCATGCGCGTAAATCTGTACGTACCAAACGGGGTAATAAATGCGGTCTTGTCCTGGTCTTCGCTCTTAACACCGATTTGCCAATAGCCTGCCTGCAGATCCAACGTTGACATGTAGTTAGTAGCTTTTACTTCATGCAGCAAATCGTCGACTCGTGGAGCGGATACCGATCTGGCTTGGTTATGGCGTTTAGTTCTCGGTAGTCGATGCAAACTCGGATGTCGCCTGACTTTTTGGGCACGATAACCACAGGAGCTGCCCATGGCGATTCGCACTCTACGATGACACCAACTCTTAACATTTCATCTATTTCCTTTCTTAACAGGATCTTTCGTTGCGGTGATAATCGATACGGTGGCAAGGCGATTGGAAGATGCTCGCCCGTGTCGATGCTGTGTACGGCAAATGGGGTTGCGCATGTTGATTCTTCGAAAACTGCCTTATGGTGTAATAATAATGAATACAACTCTGCACGCTGCTGCATCGCTATCTCGCCACCAACCATCTGACGTGGCGGACTCAAATCAACAGAGTATAACGGTAAGAAGTTTTCCTGGCAAAACTTTTCATAGGCGGTCATCTTTTCCTTTATTGGCGGTGCAAACAGGTGCGGTGTGTTTTCAGGTGTACGTTCACCAGCTGGAAGTGAATCTTTAAAAATCTTCTGCACAGAGTGTGGTGAATAATCGTTGGCATGTGAGCGTTTTATCCTTACTGCTGGTCCATAGTTTGCGTCTGGACACACTTCTGGAGGATCAGCCTCGTCGATTTTAGTGTTACGATTTTTAATGTAGCGTACGAAGTTGGAATATTCGTTTATGGCCTTAGTTTG